TGAACAAATAGGAGGCCCTAGACCTAGACAAACAGGAAGTCCCTTTCACAAAAGGAGGCCCCCTGGACAATTAGGAGCCCCCTGGACAAATAGGAGGCCCCCTTTCACAAAAGAGACCCCTTAGACAATTAGCAGGCCCTCTGGACAAATAGGAGGCCCCCTTTATGAATAGAAGGCCCCTGGATAAATAGAAGGCCCCCTGGATAAAAAAGAGGCCCGTAAAATAGGAGCCCTCTGGATAAATAGGAGGCCGCTTGGAAAATAGGAGGCTACTTTAACCAATAGGAGGTCCCCTGGAAAAATAGGAGGCCCCCTGAATAGTTTAGTTTAGTTTAGTTTATTTACATAATCATCAACGGGTCGGTGCAACCCAATTATAGATGAAGTCATACGTTGCATAAAACACAGGACGCATAAAATACACATATAAAACACATATACCCCTACAAAAATGATGATTGATGATGACGATAAGAATAAAAATAAGATAAAATAATGTGAGGGTGGACACTGGACATAACACTAGAGCACGGTCATAGAATACATGACAACCTGCTTCCTAAAAACGCCCATCCCTGTGTGCCAGATGTCTACGGCCCGAACGGTGTTAAGGAACTCGTTGCAGTGACGAGGTGCTCTCACAAACACACTGTTCTTCACTGTGTTTACTCTTGCATGTGGCACGTTAAAGAGCATCCTGTTGCGGAGTACACGGGGAGGAGCTGCCAGAGGGAATGACGCCAAAAGGAGAGGGGAGTCAATTTTGTTGTTGTAAATGTCTCTCAGGAGCCTGATGTCGTACTGCAGTCTCCTTGCAGCGAGAGACGCGAGTCCAAAGCGCCGAAGAAGGGTCTTATAATCAAGCGAGACGTTTTGAACACGACATCGAGCGCAGAGCCAAATGAGAAACTTATGTTGAACATTTTCGATCCTTTTCAGGTGCGTGTTGGCAGCTCCACCCCATATAACACAACAATACTCCAGTATTGATCTGATGTTCGCACAGTATGTTGATATGATCAGCCTGGGGTTCACATCATACAAAGAATGACCATTCTTGCCCGTCTGGTACGATCTAATCAGAAGACCAAGAGCCCTATTGGCTTTCTTCAGCACGGCATCGACATGGGTACCAAACGTCAACTTTTCATCAATGATCACACCCAGATCTCGCATTTCCCGCACTCTCTCAACCTCTGCACCTGCTATCGTGTAAACTCCTGCGATAGGCCTTGTTCGCAGAGTAAACGAGATGACCTTACACTTCGCAGGGTTCAGTTTCAGCTGCCAAGTTGCTGACCACTGACAAAGCCCCTCTATGTCGGCTTGTAGTTTACGAACATCGTCCAAACCGTCGACTCTAGCGTACAGCTTAAAATCATCGGCAAACAAAAGGCAATTTGAGGACACCACATCCGGCAGGTCATTTACATAGCATGCGAACAAGAGAGGAGATAGAAGTCCGCCTTCTGGCGTCCCTGACGGTACTGGAGCCCACGCCGAGCATTGACCGTTTACAACAACCCGCTGACTTCTCTCAGACAAATACGATTTGAGCCAAGCCAAAGCCTTTCCATTCACATGGTACGATTTTTCAAGTTTGAGAATCAGCAGCTGGTGGTTCACGAATAAGTAGGAGGCCCGCTGATAGGAGGCCTCTTGGGCAAAAAGGAGGCCCCTAGAAAATAACAGGCCCCTTGGACAACTAGGAGGCCCCCTGAACAAATAGGAGGCCCCCTGTACAAATAGGGGACTAGGGAGCTAGCCCTCTGTACGAATAGGAGGCCCCCTGGACAAATAGAAGGCTCCCTTAAAAAAGGAGGCCCTTCAAAAAAGGAGGCCCCTGGACAAGTAGGAGACCCCCGGACAAATAGGAGGCCCCTGCACAAATAAGAGACCCCTGGTAGAATAGAAGACCCCTGGATAAATAGGAGGCCCCTGAACACGTAGGAGGCCCCCTGGATAAAGAGGAGGCCCCCTGGAAAATAGAAGCCCCTGGATAAATAGGGGAACTTCTGGACAAACAGGAGGCCTCCTGGACAAATAGGAGGCCCCCTAGACGAATTGGAGGCCGCTTGGACAAATAGGAGGCCCCCTAGACAAATAGACTCTGTAACAGTAGGAGGCTCTCTGTACGCACAAATAGGAGGCCGGCGCTCGGCCTGTAGAAGCTTAGCTGTATGTACAAAAAGGAGGCTCTCTGTGCAAGTAGTCGAAGTAGGAGGTTCTCTGTACTATACCTACAAATAAGAGGCCCCCTGGGCAACTTAAAGGCTACACAAATCGGAGGTCACCTATAAAAAAGCGGGACACTGTTGGAATGCCTGTTTGAATAAATTGTTTTCCTGATATTCAAATTATTTAATCCTCGCCCGCACATGGGGGGGGGTCAGTGGTTGCCACTCCCCCCCAGGTAGTTTTTTCTGCTCTGCACTCAACATTTTGATTGCTAGAAGCCGGATGTTTCGTATATCTGCTTCTCTATATTTTCTTAGCGTCCACTGAAAATTTCAAGTTTCTGTGGTTTTTGGTTTCGGAGATATGACTTTATTCTTCAGGTGATGTCATAACCCAACTGACAAATGCCCAAAATCCTGCGTTGGCTATGGGTCTTGTGAGCGTTTGACACCTTGATTTCGGCCTTTTTGCCAGTCTTACCTCCCACCTATCATGAAACATGTTGTTCGATGATGTAGAGATGCCAGGGTCAAGGTCAGCCTAGGTCATCTAAAAATATTGCGTTTTAGGCAAGCTGAGTTGACTTTCGTGAAGTTTCTTTGACTGTATTTTTGGTAAAAGCTTCTCAGTTTATGATCTCATGCTATAGGGACATGACCTGAAGAACAAGGTCATATCTCCAAACCCCAAAGCCACAGAAACTTGAAATTTTCAAAGTGGACGCTGAGAAAAGATAGAAAAGCAGCTATCCAAAAATCGGGTTTCTAGCTTTAAAAATGTTCAGTGTAGAGCAGAAAGAACTAACTTGGGGGATGGCAACCCTCCCCCCAGGTGCGGGCGAGGGTTAAGCCTCACACTTTCTGGGGTATAGGTTAGATTCCTTGCGCAATACTGTGCCATTAAATTCTTTTTTTTTTCTATAATAAAGGCACTTTGTTTTATCGTCGAAAGTAAAGAAGCCAGAAATTTGCATCGATTTCGGACGCCGCGGGGGATATTCACATACAATGTCACCCTGCTGGCCTGGATCCACCAGTATGGGTCAGGTGAACTACCATTTCTTTATTAACCCGCGCCCTGCTGGGGGGGTGTTTGAACACCCCCTTGTGGTTTTTCGCGAATATCTCAAAAACGGCGGCGCGGAGCGCCGCCGTTTTTGGTACACCTTATCATACATCAATTCTACACATGTTGTGAACATTTCAGACCAAGGTCATTCAAGGTCAGGTCACCAGGTCACTTGAAGTGACCTCACCTCATAAAAAGTTTCAATGTCTGTCATAGCTACACCGAGTGACCGATCGTTTTGAAACTTTCAGCGAATGCTAAGAGCAATAGCATGTAAAAAATGTATATCTCAGAATTTTGATATCGATGACCTAAGGTCAGGTCAATTTTGCGACCTCCCCATTTCAGTCAATGGGAGAAAATTGAAATGCGCCTCTTTTGGATGAAAGACATTATAAACACTCCCAAACACCGAATTACAAGTGGTTTAGACACACTGAACATGAAAATGGTGTCCGTGACCCTTGTTTATGCCCTGAGGTCATCTTAGGTCACGAATGGTATCTAACAGTTTTTCGCAAATAACTTTTGATAGAGGCATACTAGAGCGATGAAAACGCCTTAGATGTGTTCAGCTCGACGATACGGATCGACTGATGTGCAACATGACCCTTTCCGGTCAGGTCATGACCTTGACCTGAGGTCAAATTTTTAAGTTGACCTTTCAAGGTCAAGTTATAGTTCATTCGATGCGTCTTGACGAGAGGAACACGATGCCGGTAAAAGTAAGCTCGTACAAGGCTTGGGTCAAAAGTTATTGCAGAAAAACTGTTTCCGAAAAAAAATCGGCTATTTTTGCAGTTTTTGCCCCCTGCAGGCAAAACCGTTGACGTTAGGTCAAATCTGAGAGAATTACTCAGAAAGGGTGTTATTAGGGCTATCGAATGCGCTTTTCCGCGGCGCTGTAGCTCTATTGGTTCCCGAGTTATTAGTTGGCTTCTTGGAAATTGTCGACATTCGACCTGGAAATCGGCGAAATTTTGCCTTCAATGACCTCTAGTGACCTGACCTTTGACCTGACCAAAAAATTGACCGAAGTGATTTCGTCATTATTTTTTACGCTCTTTCGAACGCCGCCTTCCGCGTATCGCTACGTGGCCCAGGAGCCGAGTTACAAGGGGGGGGTGTTCAAACACCCCCCCCCCCCAGCAGGGCGTGGAAATCCAGGACCCCCAGCCGGGCGCGGGTTAATATTAAAAAAAAAATCATGGCATCCGGGCTGTGACGAAAAATAAGTGGCCTAAATCCGATGATAAAACTGGATTTGGGGGTACCCTAGGTTTGGCTTCTGAGCCTCCGGTCCCCCAGTGAAAATTTCTTAGAGGAGGCCCTGGCGTGGCTCGTAAATTACCGCTTCCGCAATTGGAGGCCCCTAATTGCTTGGAGGCCCCCACTAAATGGAGGCCCTCATGGACGTTTGGGACCCCAATGGTGATGTCAAAGTTTCACCCATGGGCATCAGCCTAGTCGGCGCTAATTGGGGCGCCATTTGGGTGGCTGGGCGGAAAGGGGGGGCCATGGCCCCCATGGCCCCCCCCCTGTCTACGCCACTGCTCCCTCCTATACCTCGACCCCTGATCCACGTAGCGGCGAACAGTGTCGGAAGGGTCGTCTCAACCTGCACGTCGCATTTCGGTCGCTAGCTTTTACCCTATACGCCTCAAACGCCATGGGCTGTCAGAGATCAATGTAGATCACCGTTTCAACTTTGCCTGTGTTTCCATTTCTGAAATGTTGTTTCTGTTCTTTTTCAGGTTTCAGAAATGCCTAAAGATAGGCATGGAGAAACGCTGGGTGATGTCCGAAGAGGAGCGGCAATTGCAGGACAAGGTATGACTACACTATATCTATCCGATGACAAAGATGTGAGCTTTTTATTCACCCAATGCCAATAACCTACCTATGAATTTATCATGAATGAAAAAGATTATCACTTGTTTCTTTTATACCTACTCATTTTTACGCACTCACATTTTTACTGGATACGTCATAAAGATACCAAACATGGTTGCCTAGAGCTTCAATCAGGGTTGTATACGACTCAATCAATAGCAATCAATTCAATCACGACAAATTTGGGAAACCAATCAAATCAATCAAGTCAGAGCAGTTTTCGGGAATTGATTCAATCGACTCAAACGCGACAATGAAAGGAATCAATCAACTCAATCAAACGACTCAAACCAAGACATACATTAGGTTTTTTGCCCCACCATCTTCGAAAAGTGTCCATAGCAGTCTGGTGTACCTACCTACCTACCTACCTACAGAAGAAACATAAAAATATTGTCATTTTAAATTATAAATTGCCATGCCATTCAAAGTTTCTATGTAATAAGGAAGGATACCTAGTGATGGACAGGTGGCTCATGATATTGAGGTTCAATGGGTAGAATTGGAGCAGAAATTTCATTTAATGGGTGCAAAATAACCCAGTAGTTGACTCGCCCCTTAACCCAAATCACCACCTTTCCCCTAAAAGTTGTCAATTTAATTTTGGCCATATTCCAACTCAATTTACACTGAATATCAGATATTGCAGTTGATAGTTGGCTGCTCGGATTTTAGCAGTGTTCGTGATTTGGCCATTTACCCTACACCATGTCTATTTTAATGGATAATATGCATCAATAACATATTAACCATAGAGAAATAAAAATAAATATCTTACCTGCATGTGACGGTTTCGGTTAGACAGAGACTGACGGGCACCTTAAAAATCTTTCCACACAATGTGCATTTGAGACGTGGGATGTTGTCAGATTGGGAAGGAAGAGATTTGAAGTAGTTATTTAGCGGTCCACGGTTCTGGACGTGGCATGTCAATGTTAGGTACCTATGTGAAGAATTCAAAACATTTTATTGCAATACAATTTGAAACTGTTAGGACTGGGGGATAGGGATGAGGATTAAGAATATATTTAAAAGGAAATGGAGAGGACAGGGACTCTGGAACCACACGATAAAGGAAGTAGGAAAGGGGAAAATTAAAACGCGAAAACCAAGGCCATATATAGGGCGAAAACGGCACCGTGCGACTGCGAGAAAACGTTTTGCCAATAAGTATACTAAGCTTTTATAAATCCTTATTCTACGTCTTTTGATTTTTTGGTAAGATGACGTCATTGATTATCATGTAGTATGGTAGATCATCATAAAATAAGTCGGTTGTGCAACACCAATTTCGTTTTAATTATTATTTCATTTGAAATAAAACCACTTAATAATATTCGGTAAAATATTTTAAGGAAAATGAAATATATTGAATATGTTATGCTTAGGCTCTCAGGAGAAAAGGATCAACAAACGTTCTGCTGCAAATTAAACAATGCAGCAAATTAGCTATTGGTACAAACGTTATTAGCGAGACGAAAACGGCGCTTTTGTTTCAGATATTTTTGTATGGGTTTCAGATATTTATAGAGTTCAGTGGGTTGTTTCTGAGGAGATGTGAAGATGTGAATTATTAATTAATCACACTTTATTAGTGCATAGGGCCTTGCACTTTATCATCTGGATTAAAAAAAGCGTTTCCTGCTGAGTGCAGAAAGGTAGGTAGGTGCATCGCCAGGCTCTATCACCAGGATTGGAGCAGTTATTGCAGTTGGAAGTCAAAGTTGGCTGTTCATGTTCAGGCCCTGTTCTTTATTTGGCCATCTACCCCATATTGCAGTTGTGATGACAAGCAGTTTTTAGTGTAGTTTTGAGATCTTTGATGTCAGCAATTGGTGTCATTATTTTTCGTCAACTAAAACTTATTTGAACTTTCCATTCAATCGACTCAATCATACGAGTCACTCTAATTTTCGGGAATCAAATCAGTCAACCAGTCGCTAAAGTCAAACGAGTCAGTCAACCAGTCATCTCGAAAAGTCAATCGACTCAATCCAATCAACTCAAAATACGCGTTGAAACAAATCAATCAATTCAATCGACTTGATTGGTATACAACCCTGGCTTCAATGATTCAAAATGCATGAATGCCCATTAATTGTCCAGGCATGTTAACATGCTCACATGCATGCTACATGCTAAACATACGTTCCTGCATTGGTGCAGTTTGCATGCATAACGCAACACATCCATAAGTCAAAGCACATTTTCATACGTAGGACTTGCTTACCACGCATGGGTATGCTGGTAGCAAACATATTTGGTGCACAACGTGCGTCTTTGGAACCTATTTTCCGCATATCAAATAACTGTTTTGGAATATTTAATATTCATTGCCGAGCCTCAGACTAAACTCAGAGGCTTTTCATAACTGCTCTCGATGCTCACAGCTCTGCTATTGAGGTTTCTTGGAACGTGACTATGCGATATCTTCAAATACCGTCTTATATAACGGCACATTGGTTCTGGTGGCACGAGGCCAAACGCTTTTCAATAATTATAAATATTTAACGTGCCAAGTAGATGGAAGAAAACTGTGTATATGCACGTGCGAAGAGGCAGGCGATTAAAGCTACATGCACGGACTTCTCTATATCTGTTCCGTCCTTGTCCGCAGAACACTCAACTGTGCCTCGTAGTCTTCATATATTGTGACACCGCCACGAACTCCGCCCAGTCGCCAGCCCAGACACGAATGGCGCGCACACGAGCAAACCTCCCGGCATCGACTCCGCTGACGTGTAAAACCCGACCAGTGAAATCGGCCACTAAATCAATGGCGCAGTACACAACACTAAATCAATAGCGCAGTACGCAACACTCCTCCCCACAGGCAAGAAGTATACCCACGCCACGATTCAGCACCGTAACTCGGTAGGGGGCACCACTGCAGCGGTCTAGGGGTGACCCGCGACGACATGGGCCGGACGAATTTGGTCAGCATGACGGGTGAAGGCGCGGCCGTCCTCGAGGCGAACGTCCACCATTACACCACCGCTGTTCGAGACCACCGCGGGGACCCATCGGCGGGCGAAGCCCTGACACTCTTCAACCCAGACGGCGTCCCCGACGCGGAAATCGCGCGGTCGGGCGCGGCGGTCGTGGACGTCCTTCATGGCTGACTGACGGGCCTCCACGGTGGAGCGCAGACTCGGGCGCAGCGACTGCAGTGGAGTACGCAGCGCTCGACGAACATCAGCTCAGCCGGAGCTCGCCCCGTTGTCGACTGTGGCGAATTCCTGTAGGTGAAAAGAAAACGCGACAGTTTTGTCTGGAGACTTCCTTCAGTCCTCCTCTTCAACGCCGACTTTACGACTTTCACCAAAGCCTCAGCCTGGCCATTGGAGGCGGGATGACGCGGCGGGCTACAAACGTGCCGGATACCATTCTCAGACAAGAACAACTTAAACTGTTCACTCGTAAAGCAGGTGCCATTGTCCGACACTAGGACTAAAGGTAATCCAAAAACAGAAAAAAACACTTGCGAAGGCTTTCAATCACACATGTTGAACTTGTTGAGCTCGTAACAAACACTTCAAGCCATTTGGTGAACGAATCCACAACTATTAAAAGCATCTTCCCCTCCACGGGGCCGGCAAAATCAACATGAATTCTGCTCCACGGCTCGGTGGGGAATATCCATGGTTTCAAAGGTACCACTGGTACCTTACCTTTGTCCGCCTGACACGCCTGACACGCCCTTACTCGGTCCTCAATCTGGCCGTCCAGTCCCGGCCACCAGACGACGCTCCGGGCGAGCTGCTTCATCGCCGTCATTCCAGGATGGCCACTGTGCAACAGAGACAGGACGCGACTTTTCAGCTGAGTAGGCACGACAACTCGTAAACCCCACAACAAACAACCATTCTCGATGCTTAACTCATGACGGTGGTTGAAAAAGAATGATAACTCATCTCTGGGACAGACCTCGGGCCATCCATCACGAGTAAAGATGTACGCGGCGGAAACAGCGGGGTCCCGACGGGTGGCGGCCTGAAGCTGAGCGACCGAGACCAGACTCTCCGCGGCGTCCAGCATCTGTACCACCTCGGCCGGCGGCGGCGGGTCCGGCGGGCAGAACGGAGCCGGCAGGCGGCTGAGGCCATCCGCGTTGCTGATCTCCTTCCCTGGAACGTACTTCAGATCGAAATCGTAGCCGGTCAGGGTCAGCTTCCAGCGGACCATCCTCGGCGACACCACCTGCGGCAGAGACTTGTGTGAGCTCAACAATCCCAACAACGGCTTGTGGTCAGTTTTCACAACAAATCGGCGGCCATACAAATATTGGTGAAACTTCACAATGCCAAAAACTACACCCAAAGCTTCCTTGTCTAGCTGGCTGTAATTGCGTTCGGCGGCAGACAAACGGCGGCTAGCATACGCTATGGGACGGTCAGCTCCTGATCTGGCATCTGGGTGGCTCAGAACAGCCGCAACACCCTCCGGGCTGGCATCAGTAGTAAGAACTAGCGGGAGACTCTGCTGATAGTGGCACAAAACTGGGGCAGAGCAGAGCAGGCGTTTAGTCTCTTGGAAGCTCGACTGTTGACTTGGACCCCATACCCAAGGGGCATCTTTCTTACCTAAGTTGTACAGCGGAGCAGCAACTGTACTTAGGCGCGGCAGGAATCGGCTGTAGTATTGCAGTAGGCCGAGGTAGGCTCTCAACTCTGGCAGTTTCTTGGGCTCAGGAGCAGACATCACGGCGCTCACTTTGTCGTCGGACGGCTGAATCCCGGCGGACGAGATGCGGTGGCCCAGGTAGCACACCTCACGCGCCAACCAGGTCGTCTTCCTCACGTTGATCTTGAGGCCGGCATCAGAGAGACGTTGCAGAACCTCCCTCACGTTCGACAGGTGCTCAGCCGGCGTCTTTCCTGTGACACAAAGGTCATCCAAAAACACTGCAGTATGAGGCACACCCGCCAACAAAGTTTCCATTTCCCTTTGAAAAATGGCGACTGCAGATTTGATACCAAAAGCTAGGCGAGTGACACAGAACAGGCCCTTGTGTGTGTTAATGGTAGTATACTTCTGACTCTGGCTATCAAGTTCCAACTGTAGATAAGCCTCGCGCAAATCAATCTTGGTAAAGTAACGGCCTCCTGACAAAACCGCAAACAGCTCCTCTGTCCGGGGCAGTGGGTACGACTCCAGAGACGTGGCAGTATTAACCGTCAAATCATAGCTACCGCACAGGCGTATACTACCGTCAGACTTCTTCACTGGGACGACGGGTGCCGCCCACTCGGAAGTCGGAACAGGGCGCAGAATACCCAGCTGCACCTGACGGTCCAGCTCATCTTCGATGTCCTTCTTCAACGCCAGCGGAGGCGGGCGGTGCTTGTAGAACTTGGCTGGCGCTGACGGGTCCACCTGAAGCGAGACCTTACGAGGTTTGTAGCAACCCAAACCAGGGCTAAACACATCTGGGAACTCCAGCTCCATCTTCTTCAGACTATGTAACAGCGACTGGGCATCCCCGGGGAGGCACTCCTCAGAGCCAATCATGCACAGGGACTGCCAGTCAAGACGAATCACTTGTAACCAATCACGTCCCAACAGGGCGGGCCCAGGTTGTCCCACTACCAACAGCTGCAGCTGAGCTGTCTGACCCTGGTAGGACACCTGGACCTCAGCCACTCCCTCAATAGGGACCTCCTCTCTCATGTACGTCAACAGGCGACGGCCAGAGCACACCAGGGGCGGTCGGGCAGACAGGTCAGGCCACAGCGCACAGTACTGATCATGACTGATGAGACTACAAGAAGCTCCAGTGTCCACCTCCATGGTCAGTGGAACACCATTGACACATACATCCACTTTATACGGTCTGGCAACAGCAACAGCTGGGGCTTGGCGGGGCAGGCTGAAGGCGGTGGCTGCACAATCGGATAGGCCAGCAGATGCAACAGCACCAGGCGGACTGGCAGCGGCGGCAGGGCAGGGCGGGCTGGCAGCAGCGGCAGGGCAGGGCGGGCTGGCAGCAGCGGCAGAGCCGGGCGGGCTGGCGGTGGCGGCGGCGGCAGGGCAGGGCGGGCAGGCGGTAGGGCAGGGCGGCCTGGCGGCGGCGGCAGGGCAGGGCGACGGGCAGGCGGCAGCAGCAGGGCAGGGCGGCCTGGCGGCGGTGGCAGGGCAGGGCGGCGGGCAGGCGGCAGCGACGGCAGGGCAGGGCGGGCTGGCGGTGGAGGCAGGGCAAGGCAGGCTCACCTCTGTGCTGGGCGGTCTCACCGCTGGGCTGGGCAGACTCACCGCTGGGCTGGGCGGGCTCACCGCAGGGCTGGGCGGGCTCACGGCTGGGCTGGGCAGATTCATGGCGGTGCCGGGCAGGCTGGAGGCAGGTTCAGAGACACACATCTCCTGGCCAACATGGGCAAGTCCAAACAATTCATACACTTCAGTGTCTGGTTCCACAAAATGAGACGTCTGGGTGGTTTGTGGATGGTTGATCCTACAAGCAGCTCGAGTATGACCAATCCTCCCACACGCAAAGCAAGCCGACTTCTTGAAGGGACAGTGAGTCGGCTGGTGGGATGTTCCCAGACATCTACTGCACTTGGTTGGCTGGCCAGACACAACCGCAGACTTCTTTGGCAACTGCTTAGACTGACAGACAGACTGAGTATGTCCCACCTTTGAGCAATTGAAGCAACTTTGGGTCCTGAAAGGACACTGACTGGCCTGGTGCCTCCGACTGTTGCACCTTTGACACCTCACCGTGGATGTAGACCGGGCGAGATGCAGCTGCTGTGGTGCCACCTGGCTGAAGTGAAGTCCTGGCCTGTTGAGGTCCTCCAGCTGGGTTCTGGTTACCTCCAGGTGTTGGGCCATTTCCACAGCCTTTTGTAGCGTCAGGTGTGGATCTGCAAAAAACTTCTTCTGCAGCTCCGGGTCCTTGCACCTGGCAACAGCACATTCCAGCACGACAGTCTCTCTCGCCACCAAATCATACCCACATCGATCTGCCTGCAAACGCAAGCGAGTGATAAACGCGTCAAACTTCTCCCCCTCTTTCCGGAACAAATCATGCAAGATTGCCTTTTCATAGGTGACGTTCACCATTGGCTGAAAATGAGCCTTCAACTTCTCAGTTAGGAGCTTATACTCGTCTGCAGAGCGGGGCAGACCAGAAGGTTGTGGGAGGGTGCGAACGATCTCCTGCACTTCCAGCCCCATGAGCGTTTGTAAAACGGCAGCTTTTCTCTCAGGCGATGTGATGTCTACTGCCACCAAATAAAATTCCACCCCTCGCAGCCATCGTTCGAAATTCTCACCGGGCGTGAACTGCGCAGGAGGTTGAAGCGCCGCCATAGTGCAGTCCTAATGCTGATCCTCGTCGCCAAAAAGTGTTCCGTCCTTGTCCGCAGAACACTCAACTGTGCCTCGTAGTCTTCATATATTGTGACACCGCCACGAACTCCGCCCAGTCGCCAGCCCAGACACGAATGGCGCGCACACGAGCAAACCTCCCGGCATCGACTCCGCTGACGTGTAAAACCCGACCAGTGAAATCGGCCACTAAATCAATGGCGCAGTACACAACACTAAATCAATAGCGCAGTACGCAACAATATCAATAGAGAAAGCTGCTGGTACATGTTTTGATAATCCTCCTTCTGTTCATCTATCGACGGCTAATTGTGAAATTTAACTCAAAGTATCGATGAATCACGATGACCTTTTGAACGAAGTATTCGCGCCCGGACACCTTTAGTCTGGCAAACCCAAGAAAGAACTGAGTTAAAGCGCCTCATCACTTTGCACATGTTTTGATCGCTTCAAATGTATGGTCCGGATAAATTTGTGTGAAAAGTTGTGACAGAAAATACATATGCTCTCACAATATAAAGGCACATGCATCAACCCAAGCAGGGGGTGTCGAAGTCTAGTAGGAAAATCTGGCAAATTCCCTGCGTGACGTCACGTCGGGGATGACCGACGGCACCTTGCACTGAAAGATACGGCAGAACGGCTATTTTTGAAAAATGATTAAAAATACTTTTGTGCTGTTATGACGCATAAAACGCTTATCAGCATGTTCCTCATCATGTGATAAAGGCATATCCGTGGTCGAAAATAGCTGAGCCCCTCCCAATTTCCAACCACCGACCTCATAAGCAAAGGATGTAAGCGTAATCCTTAAGGGCGACTTTCCTATACATATCCGTACATATGCGTCCTTATGGAAATCGGTAGTGTGGCGATTGGCGACGCGCGCGACATCTGTGTGGCGACCAAGTGGCGACTGTGGCGACACCTGGTGGCTGCTTTTCTGCTGTATGTAGGCATTGGGGTTTTGCCAGATGTGGTTCCTACTGCTACACCACTATGTTGACCCAATACTAGAAAAGTTATTTTGCTAGTAAAAGGCAAGCAAATTGAAAGTTGATTTATGAAATTGCTTATAAATGATTACGAGATAATAATAAAGAAATTTTGATTGAATAATTATTTAAATAATCAACCGTGAAACTATATTCTGGTAGGTTTAGTAGAAATAAGTCCGTGCAACCTTGTATTTAGGGCCTTGAACCCAAGCATCAACCACAGTGTATATAAATACAGTGGCGGCAAATGCGCTTGGTCACGTGACCAAATCTGCACGTGCGGTTGTGGCGAGGGTACTTCCCGAAACTCTGGTGCCAACTGCCTCGCGGCGCCCATAGAGAATACATGGGACCTTTTCTTTACATACATGGGACCTATCGTGTCTAAATCAAGCCATTTAGTGCAAGGATACGACTGGTTTGAGATTCAGTAGTCTTTTGGCTATAAGTCGGCATAAGAAACGTATTTTTATCGGCAAAATTCGCAAAGTACCAGGTGGTTTTCCGATACCCTGCACGCCTCCTAACTAGTGGTGTCAATCGGAACTTTAATCTTCGGAATTCCGATTTTGTCCAATGTCCAATTCGGAATTCGGTTGGACAATGACAGCAGGCTTTGGACAACTTTGGACAATCGCTTGCTACACCTCAACATTTTTATAAAGTAATCGTGTTTAACATTGATTGGCTATTAGAAAGTTCAGTGTCCGATATGATTAACTTTTTTGAGCTGGTTATGACAATTAAAAGCAAATTAGATAACAGTGTTGAGTGCAAACTATTGCGAAGGTGTCGGGCATCTTTGGACAAATGGCTGGCTTGGACATTTTTGGACGGGCAGTCGACGTAAGCATTGGACATTGGACGGATTTTGGACATACGTTTTCTGAAATTGACACCACTACTCCTAACCCCCGGCGGCCGACCGGAGGAGTCAGTAGCGCTCCACTCACGACTTTTGGCGGTAGCTCAAAACACCTTACAGCTAGAGGGCTGCTATTTGGCACACCTTATCTTTGCTTCCATACGCATCTTTGGAAACCAATTGCATTTCCGTCTCAGGTCAGATCACTGACTTATGACGTCACACGTGAACCTCTGCAATAGTCCCAAAATACCGAAACTTCGCAATGCCCTCGGTGCCAGAGGAGCTATCACAGCGAGATGATACTTACGGGACCTAGTATCCTCTAGGAGTCTCAAAACTTGTATATCTCGGATTTCTCCTAGAGGTCACATGAGGTCAGGCCGATCGCGTGACGTAGGTAACCATTACAAGTCAATGGGGAAAATATGGAAACTGTAATTTTGACGCCGAGAATGATCTAAGCCTAGCTCAAGCACATGGAATCGCAATTTCATGCAATTCTTGCAATGTCCAATGCTTCACTTTTGCATCTTTAACCTAGCGTGACGTCATTTATGACGTCACAAAGGTCACAAGTTATTTCGTCAATAACTCCTGATAAAATTGAACTGGCAAGTCGGAAAAGTCGCCAATAGACTCGGGAAGACTTACCGAATCGAATGACATACGATATAACCTCCTCCGACCAAGTTCGTGACCTGAGTGCCTCTGACCTGGCTTTGACCCGATGTAAACACCTTATGTTGACCCCATCCAAACAAAAGTGAACCATTTTGACGCACCGGAGCATGACAAACATGATGGTACTAAAATCGCGACTCTGCGCCGTTTTTTGGCAATGCTATTTCTCAAAACCCGAAATCGTATTTTGGCCCTCGGGGCACTTGACCTGACCCTCAGAGGCCACCAGTTGACCTGAGACTTTTTAACCGTGCATCAATCGCTGCGTCCCCGGTCCCGTAACGGCATACATGCTTGTTTTTCCCGCGAGGCTAGCTCAATTAGGGCGAGGGAGTCGTACCCGCCCACTCTCGTGGCTGGGGCGTAGGTATGTAAAAAACTAAAAAGTCTGGTGATGATTGATGCAAGATTCTTACAGATAATGGCAGATGAAGGTAGTGTAGCGCGCTACATCTTGAACATCTAACGTAGTATCTTTTCGGCACGGCCGGCCCGGTGACGCGCAGCTGAGCAGAGCGCTGCCGCACGCTTCCCTCCCTTGTCATTATTCCCTCCCTCCTCCCACCAGTCCCCAGGTCCACCCTCCCCAATCATTTCTCACTGTCCGCACAGAATGGGCCGCCATTAACCTCCAATTAAGACAAGCACCTCTGAAGACAGTCACATCAGGATGAGTCATTGGTAGTCATTACAAAGCAGCTGAAGCTACAAGCAAACGTCGGCACACTGTGAGACCACGCGCAGGCTTAAGGCACGTAGCACATCGGGTCTCACGTAGCCATGGTAGCACAACAGTGCGTCACTGCAACGGAATCTGCTAAACTTAGCAAATAGCCTCCGAAACAGACGTACCTAGTTCAGGACGTCTCCACTGCGGACAGAAAGCGCTGTTGTCCGAAACAGACGTAGTTCAGGACGTCCCCACCGCGGACAGAAGGCGCTGCGTTACGGCCACGCCCCGGGGCGGTGGGCGGAGCAAGAGTGACGTCACAGGGCGTCGCCGGCAGACGAAACGGAAGGAAACAAAAGTTTGAATAAAATGAAATGGAAGAATCAAAATTAAAACTCGAAAATCACAAAAC